GGATTTCTGCCACGAAACTCATATGTATTTCAGCTCTATTAGTGTACTTTAAAATGGCACAAACGGATGCAATTTGGAGTCTCCTAGCTCGAGATATGAAGTTTTCTACAAAAGTACGCAAAGCTGGATTGCAAGTGCGGCAGATATCAGGAACAATTTCAGAATGTTATTGCAGCTATTCTGAAGGGAATCCTGCTGCGAATTTTTCAAGTGTTATAGGCAACGAAGTTTTCTTTCCAATGGTGCAAACGGCCCGCGATTCGGACACTCCACAATGCTGTAAAGTTAAAACGCTGGACATGTTTATCAGCTTCAAAAAAAAGTATTGCGTCTAATCCTCAAGGAATTTGGTGCTGAATTTTTTATGTGTTCCAGCCGTTTGAGTCATGATTCTTTAGGAAGAAACGACTTGTGATTTCATCGCTCCTGCATCGAGAAATAAATATCTTTGCAGAGACGCATTAAGTGTTTGCTCGCCGAAGTTAGAAAGGCCTACTCCAGTTGTTTTCCTCGTCAACCTGCAATGATGCAATGTAGTACATGTTGGCTCCGCAAAGATGAAATATTGTCTCTCCAAGCCTCCAAGAGTAGGGATTTTGTCGCCAAGGTTGAAAGAACACTTCATATGTCTGTCTCGCCAAGCCGCAAAGAGACGATAGGTTCTCTAGCAATGCATCTTCTTAGGGATATCAAGATCGCTGGAACTCTCACAAAATCCTGCAAAAGAAAGTATCTTGAAAGTCGTCGGTGCCAATAGCACGACGTTTTAGCTACACGACACTTCAACTATACTCATAAATGTCGATGCGAACGACATGAAACTCGTTATTTCATATGACTGATTGGTGTCGACGGTGCAAAGCTCAGTTTAGCAGTAAGTATCAATGTTGACAACGAGACGCTTATTCGATTTAAGGCTCACTGCTATCTTCCTATAGAGTACTGTATGCTCTGGTCCCTGCCGGTTGGGTTGGTTAACGACGATAGATGCATTCGGTGCACTGATTGAGACGTTACGCTTTCGGACCAATGCTTCATGGGATAATGTTGATTTCATTTTGGGGTTCTGCTGCTTCATGAATACTTCTTCACAGCCCAACGTTCTAAGAAAAGAAAGGAAGAAAAACGTTAGCATGAGTAACAAAAAGTTTAATTAAAACTAATCAGCATAGAAAGGGAAGTTAAAATTAGGGAGCCTCGCTAGTCTCTAGCCTCGACCACGAGTTAGGTCGTTGAGTATCTGAAACCTGCAGTTCCACCAGCCACGCACGAGCAACAAAGACAACGGCACGAAGCTTTCACCCAGCAACAAGAATCAGTGTCAATGACACGATGCTTCAATGCGGATGGTCAGTATTGTAACGTGCACTTCTCCGTCAAATCTCGATGAATCGTACCCTTCATGAACCTACAAAAAAGGAGTGTTGATCATCCACTTCTTCTCATGATGCGTATGGGAGAACTCACCATGTATATCATCTCCGAGCCTGCAACAAAAGACAAGGGAAAAAAGAAGTATGCAGCCCTAACAATCCTCTCGATGTCGGCACTTGATTGATCAAAGATTTGTTGCATGTGGATCAAAAGGGCTGGAGCTTCGACGTTTATAGATATTGTATCTCACCGAGTCTTCTTACCAACGTGTAAACAGCTTGTAGTTCGGACGCTCCTATCTTGAGATATGCATTTTTTAGCAAGAGCATGTAAAGCTGAAAAAATCGAGCCAGCAAGTCGGAACTCGTCTTCCAGATTCAGAAAATTATCTGGGAAAACCTAGGGACATTCTGACTGTGATTTCTACATATGTGGTAGCTCCAGGAGTCTAATTTTCAGTGCCACAAACGGCTTGTGATTTGGACGCTCCTATCTCGAGATACGATTTTCTCGCAAAGAGTGCGCAGAGCTGCGAGATCAACGGGCCAGATGCATACGCCAACTTCAAAAATTAATTCCAGACAATGCAGAAGGAATTCGGCTCTTAATTTTTGATATGCTGGATTTCTTTGAGTCTAGAATCAGTAGAATCAAGCTTCTTGCGATTTGGACTCTCTGATCTCAAGATATGAATCTTTTGTCGAGAGCACGCAAAGCTGAAGGAGCTTGTATGTTGAAATCCAGTCATGTAAATTCTGAATAGTATCTGGGGCGATTTAGGAGCAACTGGATTGTGATCTTTACAGAACTCGTATTTCGGGAAGTCTAGTTTCCGTAGCCGCAAACCGCTCATGATTTCGATGCTCCTATACCAAGATATGATTTTTTGGTTTAGTCGCGCAAAGCTGAAATGTCGAGCATGACAGAACTTGAACCAAGTTTAGGAAGCTCACCTGGGATAATACAATGCGAATTTGAATCCAAATTTTTGACACGTTGCAGTACTCCGAGTCTAATTTCTGTAGCTGCAAACCTCTCGTGATTCTGATATTCCTGCACCAAGATATGAGTCTTTCTTTGAAGGCACGCAAAGTTGAGAATTTGAGCGCGGCAGAAAACCTTCATGGAAAACGTTCTAGGACCTCTTCTATTTATAGAAGTGTTAAGTCAGCTGGTGTTAGCTTAATGAACAAGAACTTTCCTTTAGATTCAATAAGTCGTTGACTAGCAAGCCTTATATGAAAATTTTGAGACAAACATGGAATACAACCAAAAAAAATAAAAATAAAGAGACAAACGTGGAAAGTTGTCTGACAATTTGCAAGAATTTTCATTACTAAAATTTGCAATTGCTACTTCCAAATCAAATTATATTGCACACACGTGTTCTACAACCAAAGTATTGGAAGGTTAACTTTTGCTTGGAGTTTGTATTTAGCATTTCACATAAATGTGCAACTCGATAAAAGCTCAGATTTGACCAGTAGAAGTCACCACAAGTGCTAAAACAAAAATATCAACGTTCGTTGATACTTCAAGTCTCGTCATTCGTTTCAGCAAGCCTACACTTCGACAAATCTTGAAGTAGGGGGCATCTGTAGACACATAAAATTTATTGGGTTTAATCTATACAAAATTTGGATAAAATTCAATTGGGTTAAATAATTAATTTGGGCTTTACAAGTTAAATTAGTCTATTTTATTATTTTGAGGCCCAAAGTCCATTTCATCTTAAGGCTCAGACTTATGCCATGTGACATGGCATATCCAGTCAAACTCCAGGCCAATAAGGTGACGCCACATGTTAAATAATGTGGCAATACAAGTCAAAAAGCAAGAACCAACCACAAGTCGCCAAGTGGCTAAAATGACATGGGCCAATCAAAATCAAGCAAGAGAGTCTTATGTAGCTTGACTGTCCACCCTCTACAACTATAAAATAGAGGGGGTTACATAACTCTCAAGGGACATTCAGAGTNAACAGACATCAAACGAAGAGCACCACGATTCATCTTCTATAAGGGGACATTGTTTTGCCGCTCTTTTAAAGGACTATTCTTGCGATGTCTTGACAAAGAAGAAGCCCGTCAAGATATGGAGGAAGCACATTCTGGCTCATGTGGAGCACACCAATCTGGTCCTAAGCTCCATTTTCGCATCAAGAGGATGGGCTACTACTGGGCGACAATGGTGAAGGATTGCATGGATCATGCCAAAAGATGTCAAGCGTGTCAATTTCATGCCAACTACATCCACCAACCTCCAGAGCCCCTTCACCCAACTGTAGCTTCATGGCCTTTTGATGCATGGGGACTCGACGTTGTTGGACCGCTTCCAAAGTCATCAAAGGGACAGATGTACATATTAGCCGCTACAGACTACTTTTCTAGATGGGCTGAAGCTGTTCCACTCAAGGAGTCAATTTTATCAAGTCATATATAATTTTTAGGTATGGCGTACCAAGATACATAATCACTGATAATGGAACGCCATTTGACAACAAGCTCTTGAAGAGTCTATGCGAGAAGTTCGGTTTCAAGCAACATAAGTCTTCAATGTATAATGCACCTGCCAACGACCTTGCTGAAGCTTTTAACAAGATGCTTGGTAACCTTTTGAAGCAAGTTGTTGCAAAGAACAAGAGAGACTGGCATGAGAGAATTGGTGAAGCTTTGTGGGCATACCGAACAACCTTCAGAACTGCTACACAAGCAACTCCTTACTATTTGGTATATGGTGTAGAAATCCTGCCATTGGAGCAACAAATTCCATCATTGCGGATAGCAATCCAAGAAGGGCTCACGTCCGAAGAGAATGCTCAACTTCGCCTAGCAAAGTTAGAGGCATTGGATGAGAAAAGATTGGAACGCAACAAAAATTGGAGTGCTATCAAGCTCGACCAGCTAGAGCTTTCAACAAGAAAGTGCGGCCACAATCATTCCAAGTGGGAGACTTAGTCCTAGCTGTTCGACGACCTATAATCCTCAACAAACGCATACGCGACAAGTTTGCCTCAAATCGGGATGGGCCATATGTTGTGAAGGAAGCCTATTCAAGTGGCGCATACAAAATTGTCGATAAGGGTGGTCTCAGAGTTGGTCCGATTAACGAAAAATTTTTGAAGCAGTACTTTCCATGAAAGTCACCTACGCTCCTCCACACATGAGCCTAAACTACAAGTCATGATGCTCCTCGACGCATGAGCCTAAACTGCAAGTCATGACGCTCCTCGACGTACGAGCCTAAACTGCAAGTCATGATGCTCCTTGATGCATGAGCTTAAAATGCACATTGCTACACTTCTGGCCCGCATGAGTCTAAACTGTGTACGGCCAAAAAAAGTGTCTGCTAGGTTGAAAACCTCGAAAGAGGCGGCCTAAGCAAAAGTCAAGACCAAAAAAAAGTCTGCTAGGTTGAAAACCTCGCGAGAGGCGGCCTAGGCAAAAATTAGGACATAAAAAAAAGTTCATCCCTCTGAACTATGTTATGACTTGATCCTCTTCACCGAGGTACGTAGGCAACTTAGACTTTCATTCTAAGTTCAGTCGCATGAGTTTTAAAAACAAATAAAAGTTTGGCATCATCGGATCATTACATTGATTGTTCCAAGTGTAGAGGCTCATATCTATGAGGAAAAGAGACAATTTTCTTTGAAGTATAAAAGATGTTTTATTGATTCAATAGTACAAAAGTTGATACATCAAAAAAATATAGAGACAAAAGGAATTAGACGTTTCCTATACAAAAGCCTAAGTCATGAAAATGATCGTAAACTAGGCTTTGTGGCTGACTCGTCTTGAGTGCATCTTCCAAGTCCATATGACGTCTCCATATTTTTATACACTATCCTCAATGCCTCGTATATAAGAAGTCATCTCTGTTGAAAAAAACCTTCAATCACCACGGGAGCCGCCATTGATAAACTTCAAGACCGTCAAGAAATCAAGTGCAACAGTTGGTGAAGGGGTGACTCCGCATCTTGTATGACATCTCAGACTGATATCTGGACTCATCGAACTTCTTCGCAAGTCTGCAAAAGAAATAACAAAGAGATAAGATTCGTGATGATAGCCGAATCCATTACAAGGCTGTAAAATCAACTTCAAAAATATTTGTTAGGCTAACTAAGAATGAATGGAGCTTCATCTTCAATGAGATTATAGTTCTCGACGTTCGAATTTCATAGGATCAAATTGTTGGTGATGTCGACGCTCCTAGTTCAAGATACAGTTTTTCTGGCCAAAAGCACGCAAACCTGAAAGTTCCCTGCGGTCAGTTGGACTTTCAATATTTTTCTGTTTTTAGCCCGAGAAGAGTTTCGAGATGGAATTTTTATGTGTCGTAGCTCTAGGAGTTTTCTCTCCAACGGAACAAACGTATTGTAATTCCGATACTCCTAGATCAAGATACAATTATTTTCGCTGAAGGTACGCAAATCTAAAAGTTCACTGCAGTTAAGTAGATGTCGCGAATTTCTGTTGATAGCCCGAAAGGAGTTCTACCATGAAATTTATAGGTCCTTTAGGTCTCTGAGTTTTCTTTCTAACGGTGCAAACGGATTGTAATTCCGACACTTGTAGCTCGAGATATGAATTTTTCCACTATAGTGCGCAAAGCTGAAAAGCAATTTCGTGGACAGATGGGTCAAGTTCAGAAAGTTGCTGCGGATAATCTTCTAGGAATTCTTCTATGATATCTTCGATTTCATCATCTATGAGTCTTCTTTCCAATGGCACAGACGGCTCACGATTCGGACGCTCCTAGCTTGAGATATGTGCGTTCCAATGATAGCATGCAGTGCTGTGAAGCCGAAATGACAGACTTGTGTACCGCCTTCAAAAGTTCATTCCGACTTGTCCTGATGGAATCTGGCCCCGAATTTTGGATATGTCACTATGGTGCAAGTTTTGATTCTGCAGAACCAAGCGGATTGCAGTTTGGACATTCCCAGTTCGAGGTACGATTTTTCCAATGCGAGCATGAAAGGATATAAAGTCAAAACAGCAAAGACGCACCAAGTGCTTGCTCGCCGAAGTTGGAAAAGCCTACTCCAGTTGTCTCCCTCGCCAGCCTGCAACAATGTGATATGGTACATGTCGCACTCACTCGCCAAGGATGAAATATGGTCGCTCGAGCTCCAAGCCTGTTTCTCACCAAGTCACAAGGCTGAGATGTACCATATTCTCGCTCGCATGTTGCAAAGTGGGGATATGGCTCGTCGATCAAGCTCGCTTAGGAATACTCTATATGTCTCCCGTCAAGCTGCAAGAAGGGATGTACCAAGTTGCTTTTGTACTCTCTTGAAAACCTGCAAAATAAGAAAAGATTTTGGAGCCCTCGGTGCCAACAAGATGACGTTTTTGCAGATACAGCACAAGTAGCACGACGATCAGCTCGATTAATGGATATCGGTGCCATAGCACGACGTTTCTGCTTTTACGGACACGATGCCAGTGATACGAAGCTGCTGATCCCAAATGATTCATTGGTGCCAATGACACAAAGCTTTGATTCTGTAGCAAGTATCGGTGTCAATGACACGACGCTTCAATGCGGATGGTCAGTATTGTGACGTGCACTTCTCCGTCAAGTCTCGATGAATCGTACCCTTCATGAACCTACAAAAAAGGAGTGTTGATCATCCACTTCTTCTCATGATGCGTATGGGAGAACTCGCCATGTATATCGTCTCCGAGCCTGCAACAAAAGAAAAGGGAAAAAAGAAGTATGCAGCCCTAACAATCCTCTCGATGTCTTCGCTTGATTGATCAAAGATTTGTTGCGTGTGGATCAAAAGGGCTGGAGCTTCGACATTTATAGATATTGTATATCACTGAGTCTTCGTACCAACGATGTAAACAGCTCGTAGTTCGGACGCTCCTATCTTGAGATATGCATTTTTTAGTAAGAGCATGTAAAGCTGAAAAAATCGAGCCAGCAAGTCGGAACTCGTCTTCCAGATTCAGCAAATTATCTGGGAAAACCAAGGGACATTCTGACTGTGATTTCTACATATGTGGTAGCTCTAGGAGTCTAATTTCCAGCGCCACAAACGTCTTGTGATTTGGACGCTCCTATCTCGAGATACGATTTTTTTCGCCAAGAGTGCGTAGAGCTGCGAGATCAACGGGCCAGACGCATACGCCAACTTCAAAAATTAATTCCAGACAATGCACAAGGAATTCGGCTCTTGATTTTTGATATGCTGGATTTCTTTGAGTCTAGAATCAGTAGAATCAAGCGTCTTGCGATTTGGACTCTTTGATCTCAAGATATGAATCTTTTGTCGAGAGCACGCAAAGCTAAAGGAGCTTGTATGTCGAAATCCAGTCATGTAACTTCTGAATGGTATCTGGGGCGATCTAGGAGCAACTGGATTGTGATCTTTATGGAAGTCGTAGTTCGGGAAGTCTAGTTTTCGTAGCCACAAACCGCTCATGATTTCGATGCTCCTATACCAAGATATGATTTTTTTTGGTTAAGTCGCGCAAAGCTGAAATGTCGAGCATGACAGAACTTGAACCAAGTTTAGGAAGCTCACCTGGGATACAATGCGAATTTGAATCCAAATTTTTGACACGTTGCAGTACTACGAGTCTAGTTTCTGTAGCTGCAAACCTCTCATGATTCTGATATTCCTGCACCAAGATATGAGTCTTTCTTTGAAGGCACGCAAAGTTGAGAATTTAAGCGCGGCAGAAAACCTTCATGGAAAACGTTCTAGGACCTCTTCTATTTATAGAAGTGTTAAGTCAGCTGGTGTTAGCTTAAAGAACAAGAACTTTCCTTTAGATTCAATAAGTCGTTGACTAGCAAGCCTTATATGGAAATTTTGAGACAAACATGGAATACAACCAAAAAAAAAAGAGACAAACATGGAAAGTTGTCTGACAATTTGCAAGAATTTTCATTACTAAAATTTGCAATTGCTACTTCCAAATCAGATTATATTGCACACACGTGTTCTACAACCAAAGTATTGGAAGGTTAACTTTTGCTTGGAGTTTGTATTTAGCATTTCACATAAATGTGCAACTCGATAAAAGCTCAGATTTGACCAGTAGAAGTCACCACAAGTGCTAAAACAAAAATATCAACGTTCGTTGATACTTCAAGTCTCATCATTCGTTTCAGCAAGCCTACACTTCGACAAATCTTGAAGTAGGGGGCATCTGTAGACACATAAAATTTATTGGATTTAATCCATACAAAATTTGGATTAAATTCAATTGGGTTAAATAATTAATTTGGGCTTTACAAGTTAAATTAGTCCCTGCTATTATTTTCAGGCCCAAAGTCCATTTCATCTTAAGGCCCAGACTTATGCCATGTGACATGGCATATCCAGTCAAACTCCAGGCCAATAAGGTGATGCCACATGTTAAATAATGTGGCAATCCATGTCAAAAAGCAAGAACCAACCACAAGTCGCCAAGTGGCTAAAATGACACGGACCAATCAAAATCAAGCAAGAGAGTTCTTATGTAGCTTGACTGTCCATCCTCTACAACTATAAATAGAATGGTTACATAACTCTCAAAGGACATTCAGAGTTGGAGAAGAATACTCCGCAATTGGTGAGGGCATCCACAAACATAGAGATCAATCATCAAGTGCTTAGTTCTTCAACAAAGGAGTGATCAACGTAGTTCTTCCCGGAGATCAACCCGTAACAACAAAGTGCTACTCGACGTTCTTGGCGATTAAATACATCACAAGGAGGTCTGCATCATCCTACATTCGAGAAAGACGCTTCTCAAGCCCTCGAATCACGGAGAATTTTAGAGAGGAGAATCCAGGGATACATAGAATTGTACTCACAAATATTTATCAATAAAATCTCTTTTTCTTTATATTATTTTTGTTGCAGTTTATTTTTTTTGTCTTACGAAAATTTGTTGCAAACATGAACATAATCTGAAAATCATGCATCATGTTTTCGCTACCACTTAAGAACTCATCAACTGGATTATATGAAAAAGAGAAAAGCTCATCAAAAAATTAAGGACATTCCATTTGGACAGGAGAAAGATTTTGCTTGATCATCGGTCAATAGCACAGACAAAAGGTAGAACCATTTAAATAGATGATAAGACTATTACAAAGGCAACCGTGAATTCATTAAAAAGGCAACGATTGAAATAATTTGAAGCATTTTAAGATACACAACCTTTGCAAACAGTTTCCTCTTTATTTTTGTTTAAATATTATAATCAATATATTATTATTATAAATTATTTTAAATAAGTAGGATAAGTAAAATTTTAGAAGGGTAAATAAGTAATTTAACTTTTTAATTTAGGGGTTCATGTATATATATATATATATATATATATATATTGAGTTAGTTGTTGTCCAAATTTTTTTTTGGAAACGAACTTTTATTTGATAAATGCTATATTTTCCTTAGAGATTTAATTGTATCCAATAATATAAATTTATTTTATAAGTGGGATTTTACTGGGTATGATGTTGTTGTTTATACTCTTTAATAGATTTTTTGGATTACTTGATCGATCACACAGTTAGTAAAATTTATGCTTTTTACTAATTAAATTTACTTCAAAATACTCACTGAATTATTATATATTACATGATCCGGCATACACATGCAATGGACAAGCAGAGAAACTTGTATACGATAGAAATAGGGGCTACCCGATTTCTTCATTAACTCGAGATGGGGATATTGTGTCAAGGATCTAGGACGTCGAGTCCAGAATCAAAGCCATTTTTCGGACCAAGGTCAACGTCGATAGCGGCTAGAAAAGGACACTCCGAGTGACATCGGCATAGCTTGATAACGAAAAAGGCGAGATATCCGCGACGAGGTTCATGGCGTGAATCTCGAAACGGATCAATCCACGGCGGTTAAGTAGATGTTAATATGATTTCCTACTATAATTAGAAGTGTACCTTATTTAGTACTCCTCTACTATATAAAGAGGGATCCCATTCATTTGTGTTAATATGATTTCCTACTATAATTAGAAGTGTGCCTTATTTAGTACTCCTCTACTATATAAAGAGGGATCCCATTCATTTGTAATCATCATTGTTTACTGACAAGAATATATACGCTCATTACTTTCTTGCTATTTCACTTACTGTTCATCAGAGTTGCTTAATCATTTACTGCTCCTACTATTCCACTTCGAGACTATCCCGAGTCGAGGTCGAGACCTGGCTAGTATACCGGTTTGATTTATTTTATTCTCTAATTTACCCATTTATTTTCTTGCTTGTCAATTGGTATTGGACGAAATCATATTTTCTTAAAACCACAATATAAGTTTAATTGTTTTCCGAATTTGAGGGTAAAGAGTTTGGCGCTATAATAGTGATTGTTCGGTGCTGATTCTGATAACATATTATTTTATGCTTGTTCCTGTAAAGTATCTTTGCTCTCATGTTAAAACATGTTAAACCCACAAAACGCACCCACACATGGTGACAATGGCCTTGGGTTTCACGGGAAAAACGACAATGTAATTGCTCCATGAGCAGAGGTGCCACAGGATGATCTCGAGGGAGCACCGGTTGCCAATCCAGTCGATGTCATTTCGCACGTTGCTCTAAATGCGGACCTAGGCGCGGACCCCGAATGGAGTGCACGCAGAGAAGGTCGATCTGGTGACTTAGGCACACAGGGCAGAGGAGACGTAGGAGTCAATCTCCAAGTGATATTCGAGATGCTATAGGCTCAGCAAGTCGTTATTGCTCAACTACAAAATGAACATAGAGCTGCGGGTGGGGTTGAGCCATAAATCACTCGTCGTACCAAGCCAGTGCCAGAAAGGTCGGATGGTAATGAATCGGGGACCGATCATACAATAATAAAAATGCTCGAGGAGCTCACCAGAATAATTGAGTCAGGAGAGAAGAAAATCGAAGCTAATGACAAAAGGGTAGAAACGTACAACTCACGAGTTGACCAAATACTGCGGGCACCCCCGATTCTAAAAGGTTTGGATTCGAAGAATTTCGTGTAGAAGCCTTTCCTTAAAATGCGGCTCCGAAGCCCATTCCTAAGAAGTTACGTATGACAGATATACCTAAGTACAACGAGACTACCAATCCTAATGAACACATCACTTCATACACATGTGAAATAAAGGGGAATGACTTTGAAGATGATGAGATTGAGTCCGTTTTGTTGAAAAAGTTCGGGAAAACTTTATCAAAGGGGGCAATGATATGGTACCACAATTTGCCGCCCAATTCTATCGATTCTTTCGTCAAGCTCGCTGATTCATTCGTAAAGGAACACGCCGGGGCAATAAAGGTCGCGACAAAGAAGTCGAACCTCTTCAAAGTGAGACAGAAGGATAATTAAATGTCAGGGGAGTTC